TCACACACTCACACACATTCTCACTTACACATTCTCACACACTCATACTCAAACACACTCACATACACTCTCACACACACATTCTCACACTCACATACATTCTCACACACTCAAACACTGACACGTACTCACATTCACTCTTTCACACATACTCACACACACTCACTGTGTCACTCATTGGCATGGAAGCCTTCACTAAGCTCATTAACCTTCGCTTCTTCAACGCAGAAGTAACCAGGACTACCCACATCATTCGCTCCATTTGTTCATTAACTGACTGAGCATCTACCCCAGAGCAAGCAAGCGCCCCATTCACATCACACTCACAACCTAGTAGCTTGGGGCACGGAGTAAACACAGCTGAATTACTGAGTGGAGGGCATGCACCTGCTCCTATGCTTTTGACCTAAACCCAGGCCGAGTCTCCTCGAACCTGAAGTGCCTGGGTGCTGACAGCTCAGAAGCCCCTCACACCAGAATACCTCATTCCTAGTCTCTAAAGTACAGCTCTGTCTGGCCTGAGCTTGGTGACCAGACTCTTCAGTCCTGGGAGGGAAACCCCGTCTCTGAGCCATTAGAACTGAGCAGCTGGGCTGCACAGGAACCAGGGGTAGCTTTTTTTTCCCATTAGGGGGCAGGGCAGCTGTAGACCTGAGCCATGCCCCTGCCGGGCTTTGTCAGTCTGCAAGGGCAGGCGGGGACCGCTGTGCCCCTTGGCACAGTGTGTGTAACTCAGTAATTGCCAGAGATGGAGTGGGCGAGTGACCATGTGGGGGCTATGGACTGCGACTCATTCATATTTAATAAAGCTGGCTGTGTGGCCTCCATTCATTTCTGCAATGGATGGTGACGACGAAGATGATTCCTCGGGGAGGGAAAAGGGGGATGAGCATGCAAGAGCCCAGCTCTTCTTCCTTCCCAAGCCTCGCTTGTGTTTGAGGGTAGGTAACACAGAGAGGGAGCCACCAAAGCTCCTGCTTCTGCTTCCCTGAGGACGGAAACCTTGCACCTGCTGGGTGTCTCAAAAGCAGGACAGTGGTGTCTGTGATAGCCAGGGCAGGTGTAGCCCCCCATGACAGCTGACCGGAGGAGCGGGACAAAGCCCCCAGGAGAGGAGGGTGATTGTAATCGAATTGGAAATGTTTCCCACAAGTTGGTGTTCGGAAGTTTTGTCCCCGGGTGATGCACTATTTTTCACGGTTCTGGTATCTTCGGGAGGTGGAGCCCAGCTGGAGGAAACGGGTGGGTCTTTGGCCTTTCCCCCCTTCCCCTTTCTCTGCACATCCTGGACCACCATGTGAACTCACCGGTTCTGCCTCATGTTCCAACCACCATGGTGCGCTGCCCAAGCGCAGGGGACCAAACTAATAGGTGCTGACCCCTCTGAAACGGAGATCCAAAGTAAATCCTTCTTTTCATGTCACAGCAGAAGAAAGGTAATAAATCTAGGGGCGGAAGTGCTAGCCAGCCTGAAATTCTCTCCACTTGGCATCAACCGCAGAGCAGGAGGAGGGATGCTGGGGTCTGAAGAGCAAGGCAACACCTCAGGTCCATTCATTCCGCAGATTCCCTCCATGCTAGGCCCTGGTAGGGGTTGCATACCGAGGTGCCCAGAGTGGGGAATTGACTGCTTACCCCTGTGCCCTGGGGTCCACCCTCTGAGGCTCTGTATGTCAGACTCATAGCTAACCTGACTGTGACCCCAAAAAGATGGTTACCTGGGCCCATGTCATTTCCTACCAGGTCGGGCTGCCTAAGCAGTAGCGAGGTGGCAGGCATAGGCAGGGGCTGAAGCCCCTCCTCAGCAGCCTGCAGAGACAGGAGAACAAGCATATCCAGCACAAGGCTATGTGGGGGAGGGGCACTTCCAGGCCTGCTTGCTAGAGCTGACTTCAGGAGAGGTTCTTGGCCTGCCAAGTCCAGGAAGTGGAATGGTAGGTACCCTGGTACCCGGAAGCCCTCTTACAGCAGACATAGCCATCGTGGTTTTAGACATTAACACCCCAACTGATCGGATTTGGTTTCGGTTTGCTTATTGTGACGTTCTGATTCTTTTTCTTCAGGGAGTACGCCTTGTGCACGGTCTTTCTATATATATATTTTTTAAATCAACAAATCTGTTCTTGGCTTGGTCTCCCCCAATGTTAGGAGGATTCAAGCCCTACTTCAGGCCAACTCTGAGGTCATTTAGTAAAGAGAGTTCCTGCTGTATTTGTTTTCAAGGCTGAGTAACTTAGTACTCCACACAGGGTGACTCGCTGACTTGTTTTCCTTCAGTTCTGTGGCCAAGATCATGGTGCGTGTGTACAGATGCACAGAGACAGGAGCCCTTTGAGGTCTCTGCTAGCAGGATGATGAGAATTTGGGGAACTGTCCATAACTCTACCCAAGACTATAGAGACTCGCAGAGCCAAGTCCAGCCTGGGCTGACTCGTCACATACCAGCCGCCCTTGGGATGTCTCATACTGTCTCTAACCAGCAGGTTTGTGCTGTCTCTGCTGGAGACTTCTGCCCCACCACCTACCTCCATTTCTTAGCTCTCCAGTGCGGCCTCCAGAAAGATCTTTCCTCGCACCTACATTTAATCCAGCATCTGCCGGACTAGGTAAAAGGTTACTTTACAATTTTTCATAGTAAGATTATAGGTACTGGGTGAAACATGACTTTGTAGCTCAAAAAGATATATAAAAGTAATGTATTTGAAATATAAATACTATATAAGATAGATAAAATTTTATATGTGATTAATTTTTTTTAGCAAAATGCCAAACAAATAGGTCGGTGGTTGGTTAACTAAATCTAAGAAATATGAAAAGATATGCCTTCCTTAATATACAAAAATTTTGTATGTGAAATATTAAGATAGTCTCCTCCTCAACAGAATAATGGGTCAAAGACACGCACGGCTCATTTACAAAAGGATATGTACCACTTCTCAGTACAAGCTCAGCCTCTGATTCAAAGTATAATTCAAATTTACAGGGTTATTTATTGTTTTGTTTTGTTGTTTAAAATGGGATTTGACTTTAGCCCAGGCTGACCTTAAACTCATGATGATCCTCCTGCCTCAGCCTCCCAGGTATTACGGGTGAGCCACCTCACCCAGCACAGACACTGTTTTCAAAAGGACAGAGGTTCTGCCAGTGCTGGAGACGTACAGAGAAATGTCCACCAGGCTGCCCCTGAGCTGTCTGAGAGGGTGAGACCAAAGCTGTCCTTCCATTTCTAGGCCTGATGCTGGTCCCTCAGTCGCTGAAAAGTGGGCAGGTTAGGAGGAAGATGTGGCTTTTCCAGATCAGCGCTGTCGCCTGGAAGGGCACGCAGCAGCGGAGGTTCCCCCGTCATCCACAAACATGTGTAAATATCGCAACGGCGCTAATGTAACCAAGAAAATCACTTCCTGTTGTTTCCCCTTCAGTGATATTTTCTGCTTGGCTGAGTTTGCTTAGCACACTGGAAAGGCCAACTCATCAGTTCTTGTTGCTAATCAAGAGCAGTAATTGTCCGAGTGCAGAGCCTTCTGACTTGGACTCTGCTGAATAGGATAACAAGTTCCAAAAAACGCTAAGTAGTGGTTTCTAAAAACGGGCCTCTTTTCACAAGGAAGGCCCCCGAAGAGCGTTTATAAAGAAAGCCTTTCTGGGAAGTGGAATGAAAACATTGTGCATATTTTACAGAGCATGGCAAGTAGGCGGGGAACTTCCAGAAATTCTTAAACCACGGCCTCCGTAGATGCACTCTCGTTGTCCCTCTCACTGGGAAACATACGGATTGGTCGAGGCGATGCCAGCCTATAGAATGAAATAAGCGTAGCCCATAATGTCAATTGCAACCCAATAGATATCTGTTTGGGGTCTACACAGCTGGCACTCACAGAAGGCAGGCAGCCTTCCACAAGGTGACCTGAGAATCCAGGCTCTTTTTGATTCTGCCGTTTTCACGTTCGCCGTATTTGAGAGCATCATGCCTGCAAAAAAGGAAAGCACCTGAAGACCACGCCGTGAGACGCTTCCATCAGCAGGGCGGAAATGATATGCATTCTGAGTCTTTTAGCCAGAGCCTATTCTGTGGCCACAAATCTTTGCAAGGGAGACGGGGAAGCAGCCTAGCGTGTGATGAGGAAGACGAGAAGGCAGGTTTGGGGAAGGACTAACCGTGTCAGCCTAACACCCGTGAATGCCAAGAATTGCTACCTTGGCCTTGCTCAGAATGGCCTGAACACGCCCTGCCCTGCCCTCAGCTAAACCCCATCTGACTCCGTGGAGACTAGCATACTTCTATCCTGGGAGGGTGGAAGGCGGTTCATGGTATGTCTTCCACAAACCTGATTGGGGCCCTCTCTGATTTGCTGCCCCCTTTCTGAACACAGCTCTGGGCTGAGCCATAAACAAGAAGGCCTGTTAGCATTTACTGAGTGCTAACTATTTACCAGCCACTAACACTTAGCAGAATTTTTCCTGTTGCTCCAGAATTACGTAACCAAGGCCCATACTTGAAGCCAAGTGTTGAAGTCACTTTCCGCAGTGCTGATGTACTGCAGAGACTAGACCTGACTTTCTAACCACCTCCACTCACCATCTATGACCACTACCACTGACCACAAATATAAGAGGCTGGAGACAGAAGGCGCGGACAGCTAGA